CTATATAATAAAATTAAGACAAGGAAGAGAAACCTATTACTATTTATAAACTTTAATGACCTTCCTAACAAGAGAACAACATAGTGGTGAATATCGTGGTGAACATCGTGATTATTTTACCAGAAATAATGTGCAAGTCAAAGTACGCGGTAATATTTTTTTAACTAAGCATTTTTATTTTAATATTTTTTTAACAGTTAAAGAAAAACTAATTAGTTCCTCATGGTTATGAATATATGATTTACATATACATATCGCGTTTATTTGTAGATTAGTAAGAAACAGAATTTCTTATCTAAAAGTAATTTGATTGCTTTTTTTTAGAATATGGAAGTCAAAAAAACTGCCTCACAATTACTTCAAGAGGTCGTCCAAAAACACGCGCAAGAAAAGATTGCAGATCAACTCAAAATTGCATCACTCGAAGTCGAAAATAAATTACCTCGTGAAAAATTAGGTGATAGAGAACAATTACGTAACAACAATCAATAATCAACGTCGTTATTCAACATGGTTTATGAAATTGATCAATATGCTCCAGTATTAATTGGTATAGCATTGTTAGTGATTATGCATTATTGGAGATGAATATCGAAAATGGACATGGACATAAAAATGGACAAATCCTTTCACCTTTGAATTGTAAAGGAATTTATTTCCTCTTTTTCATTCATGTAACGTTGTGTTTCTTTCTTGTTAATTCAATTTAATCAAATAAAAATAGATCTGATGCCTATTAATATCTATACATTATATTTTATACAGTTAACAACAATAATAATAGTAAAAAAAAGTCTCAATATAATAAAATAGGCGTGGGTCCTCTTTCAGCGATCCACTAGTTAAATTCTAGTAGCATTATAATGCAATGCACATGTATCAATTGACAGTGTAGAAGGATCGATCAGATAAATTCGCATGGAGTATAATAATAAATGATCTAGATGAATTAATTATTTTGTCATCTGTAAGATATGAATTAAACTGTTGATCATTACCAATCATATACATTCGACCAGAATTGTCTCTTACAGCTGATTGACAACTAATTTCATATAGACCATTAAGACTTAGGACACAATAACGTGTATGATCAAACAATATATATTTGATCAACAACACGTTTTTATTGTGCACAAAAAAACAAACTAACACAAATAACGAATACATTATGATCCAAACTAAAAGTCAAAACTTGAAGTGAATTTACAAAAAACCATCATGTAACAGTCAAACTACAGATGGAAATGACATTCGTCAAGCATTAACTGATTATTTTGTAAAAAACCCATTGTAAGAGTTTTTTGTGACACAGTTTATATATTTCTTGTGATTGTTATTAATGATTATTAAAGTTTCAATGTTATTCCTTTTTTGTTTATTATTGTTGAGAACGTCTCAACTCGTCACGTGACGAGTTGAATAAACAGCAAAAATCAGACATTTCGTAACACCAAAAATAGGGATATTCAAAAATACAGGGATGTCGTAACGAAATTTACAGGGCGATCGTAACGATTAATACAGGGAGTTCGTAACAGTTGCAGAGCTTTCGCAACGGAGCAACAAGGATTTCGTAATGAGGATAAGGGTGATAGCTGAACTGAGTTTGCAGGAATTACATGCTTTTCGTTACGAAAGCTCTGTAATGGTACATATTAAAACACCAATTACGATCATCCTGTAAACTTTGTTACGAAACCCCTGATTTTTTGTTACGAAAGCTCTGTCACTGGCTTTCGTACTGTCAATTCGTTACGAAAACCAGACAAGAAAAAACGTGACGAGTTGACACATTCCCTTATTGTTGTGCTACATGTTTTTTTCCTTAGTAGTCTGCTTATTTATTATTTACACTTCTTTTTCGTTATTTCCATATACATTTCATGGACTTAATATTCTAAAGAACATAATGAATTGTTATATTTTTCTTTTTTTTTCTATCATAATAAATTATTCTTGTAACTATAGTTTACTTTTAAGTAGTGTGTTTCTGTTTCAAACGTATTGAAAGGACTTTTATATTTCAAGTGATTAAATTTAAGATAATATTTATTCAAGTAATAAGGTTATTCATTAATAGGATTGAATTAAATCAATATTTTAAGTTTAACAACGAAATAAACGAAACTTCTATGTAAATCGTATGCATATGATAACGACATCTAAGCGTATTAGAAGTTATTTTTATGCAAATGGTCTACATCAAAGAGGCATATCCTCCATTTTCATTCGTAATTTATTTGCTTGGTGTGACCGAGCAATGGCTTAAAATGAAATTCATATTCTTCAATTTTCAGTGTGATTTCGGCCTTACTATGTTTTCACTTGTATAAGTTATTGTATGTTAAGTCATTTGTTTTAATTTTTATGTCTGACGAAGTATCTTATCGAGATACGAAACGTTACTGAGTTTTTGTTTTTTGTTAAGCAAATTATTGTATTAAATTAAGTAAAAGAAGAGTATTTATCAATGTCAAATAACAAATCAACCTTTTTAACAAGACAAGAAACTCTATTTTTCGATGAAAAGAAAACAATCTTCGTGAAATATACAATTTTTTCGTAATATTTTGCTTAAAAAATCGATTTCCCTTTCTCTCTACCTATATTTGTTTTGATCGTCCATTCAAAATTCTCAAAAAGGTCTTGTTATAGCCAATGGTTTATTTATTTTTTTAAGAGACTATGTCAATGGGCGTCATTTTACTTTTTTTTAGAAAATATGAATCTTTTTTCTATTTCAAAAGCCACAATTCAAAATACCAAAGGTATGTAATATAATATATCTTGACATACTCTGTTGAACAAAAAAAAATAATTAAGTCTATATAATGAAGATTGAAAATTTGAGAGTACAGAGCTAAAAACAAGTTCATATGATTTCAACGTAGTTAAGTCAAAATCAGTTTTAGAGAGTAAGTAAAACTTGAATTATACATAGATTCATATAAAATTATGTAAAATATTCTTTCCCATTAACTACGATTTATGATTTACTCAAATGATATGTTTAACAAAGAAATTGTAGAATTATTGTAACATATAAAAATATTATTATCATTCAAGATTTACTTAATAATGATGGATATAATTAACAAAAGTGATTATTCAATATTTTTGGGTTAAAGTGCAATAAAAAAATACTGTACTCACTCATAAAAAGAGAAAGTATCTTTTTTTTTATATTCTATTCTTTCATCAGTGATTAGTCACGATTTACGTCAATGGATATTGATATACTGTATAATACAAATTGCATTGTAAAAATTACGCCACACCCTAGAGTATTATTTATTTCGATATCTTTATGCTTTATATTTTGTTCTACAATGGGCGTGTATTCATGCATGATTGATTTGTGAATTGTATGCAGTAATATATATATATATATATATTTATACATGGTGTGAGAAACTAAAGATATTTAAAAAAATTCACACACTTCAATCTTCAACTACGACACATTAGTTCACATGGCTTTTCGTGGCTCAACCCTTATTCCTCATAGACGTTACTTCGATGCTTATAATTTAAGTAATGAAGTTTTTCTATGTTGAATACATATGCTTATCAATATAAAATTGATCTTTTTCAGATACCATTTATAATCTCTTCAGTTCGAATGGTCGACATGGGTACGGTTCTCATTCGGGAATAGTCAGCCCAGGTCATTATTCAGGCCCTGTTCACTATGGTTCACCACGTGCACACTCATTTTCACCATTTGATTCAAGTTTTCGTCATTATCGATGGTGGTGAGACGTCAGTGTAGCGCTGAATGATAAGCTTAAAACAAAATCAAATTGACTCCTGTTTTGTGTATACATTATTTAATCACGAAATAAAAAGCTTCTGATTACTTATGTATTCATTAATCATTAGGAAAAATGCCGTATTAGTTTTACAGATCTGTCTATGTAATAGTTACATATGCAGTAATAATTAAATGTATGATTTCATAAATTGTATCATTTTGGTAATATAAACAATAATGTTTACAATTGAATCAGTATACTATAAGATAATTTCGTATAATTAACTTATTGATCGTAATAAAAGAAAAAATCTATTGTGAACATAGTGAACGTAAAAATACAGATCTCAGTAGTATCAAAGATTGGGTGTAAAACATTTAGTTTCTCTTGTTGAACTTTTATATATACTAACCATCATAAATAAAATGAACATTTTTCGTCGTGTACAATTTAAATATCCAACATTATTGTTCATTATTGTTAGGGTGATGTCGTCAGTTGTTGCAATCACTTCTTTCATATCATCCTCTACTTTATTCCATCTTCTTTGATCTTCTCTTTTAGTATATTGTTTTTTTTTCTGTTCTTCTTATACCGGGTGCGGCAAAAAGATTGCAACATTTAGTATTTGGCAAATATCTCAGCTGAGATCAATCATATAATCTTCATTCTTTTTTAAAAAGATGCACCGTCGAAAGCCCTACAAAAACTATATGAACAACTTCCTATTGCAAAACAAACAAGAATCTTCTAAATATTTAATACATTGAGACACAGAACCATCATGAAACCTATTCATTTTGAATATAGGAGGCACCATCACAACAAGCTAATGAAAATTTGCTCTTGTAGGTTTTTTTTAGAGCTTTTCACGGTGCATCTTTTAAAAAAAAGAATGAAGACTATGTGATTGATCTCAGCTGAGATATTTGCAAAATACTAAATGTTTGCAATCTTTATGCCGCACTCGGTATGATATAGTAAAAAGATATCATAAAGAAGTGAAACACAACCATCAGCTCGTAAACATATAAACAAAGGAAAGAGAACGAAGTTAATAGATAGATGTAACAATTATAGTTTGGGAGCTTTCACGCAGAGCATATTAATCGATTCATTTTCCAACTGGCTTATTGTTTCAAGTGAATTTTTTATAAGAGTATACCAGTATCTTCTGACTGAATCGAGTTTTATTAATAAAAAGTGCTGAGATTTTCTTCTTTTACCGATGTACATGGCTTGAACAATACAGAGTGTCGAAAAACATAATTCATACAAAACAAATTTAGATAATTACAATGAAATGAATGATATCGAGTTTTGATTGAGCTTTAGTAATTATACTCTTAGAAAAAGAAACCCAAAAAAATAAAATAGAAAAGATATTCTAATAAATGTTAATTTTAAATCCAAATTTAAAACAATCGAGTTTAGAAAGGAGAACATATACATGCATGTATAAAACTGAACAATTAGCGATAAAACTTATAATAAAAATTTTTAAAAAAATTTTTGGTTTTATTATGCAGAGAAAACCTATTACATTTGATCAATATAAGAGGGAAAAGAAACTTAAAAAATCAACAATTAATTTTTATCACAATAAAAAAATTACACATCGCTTAAAGTAAAAACTATTCCAAAAATAGACAAGAGGAAAAAAGTTCGAAGAATATGATAATCTTTAAAAAAATTATTGTGAACAGAAAATAAATAATTCATTAGTCATTAGCA